TGCTGTGGCGGGCCATCAGTTGCTGCTCTAGTTTTTGAATTGATATAAATGCTTTTCATTAATTTTATTCATTTTTTTTTTTTTGCTTAGACAACCGGTCAAAGTTCGAGTGTTTATGCAAATTAGGCACTGATCGCCGGCACACGCTTGTCATAAGTGCATTTCTCGTTGTTGCACGTGATTGTGAGATATGTAAAACTCACAAATCTATGTGTGTTGGTGATTAGTTCAGCTTGAAAGTATATTCCATGCCTCATTTGACACATTCGATTAGTTATCATAATTAGCAAGAGTTCACACGGTGTTCGAAAAAATACCATGCAGCAGCCTATACTGTTTATCCTCACAGCTGCCGTATTTTAAGAAATGCTCTCCTCAAGCTTATTAAATGCGATAACTCTGTTTAAAGTTACCAGTATCGGACCGCTAAAGATTTAATGTAGCGCATGTAGCGCCCCATTGTTGGAACCGAAGTTCGTCCACATTAACATACTCCACTTCTGGAATGGAAAGGCCATCATGGCTCTATGGGTTTCCCCATTGACTCTCTTCCTCTCTTTTTCTGTCGCTCTCTTTCTCTGTCTCTTTCTAGATCAAAATGTAAAGCGTGCGTTAATACTTGCGAGATAATACTTTCTATTTGCGCAGCATATCATTGAAGATTTTCTAGTAACCTCGAGAAATCAAAGAAGTATTAAAATAAGAGGATTGGTTCTTCTTTGAGACCATATATGTATATTTCCAAAAAGTTCTAATTCTGGTGAAAAAGTTTCCCCTACGGCGATAGGATATCAAAATATCAAGTTCAAAACTAAAAAAATTAAAGGGTAACCTTCCAAAAATGACAGGTCATTCCACGCCCCTAAACATATGCAGGCTTATCTTAGTATTTAATTTCGCTGACCCTTGCACTATGCTTTAAATAATTGACAATTACCAAGTGCCACATGCCACAAATGCCTCAAATTGCAGACATAACAGATAACATATATGACTTCATAGCGTTTTTTTTTCTCATTTTCGTGTTTTCGCTAAGCATTTTATTATAACATGAAATTCCAAGCATATTTGTAGGCGTCAAAACAGAAATCCTGCACAATTGCTTACTCAATGTGCCAAATAACATGCTACGAATTTGTTTGGCAAAAAGTGGCAGGAAAACTCATTTGGCGGGTGGACATGGTTTGAACATATTTGACCACTGCAATTTAAGCGCTTATCAAGGAGTGACGATCTGTTTCACAAGAGCTATGAAAACCAAAAAATCAAACAAAAAAAAACATACAATTATGCAACAGACAACGCTTTAGCTGGCAATATGGCAACAATTAAATTTAAAATGGGTAGCTCTGAAGCACATTGTGCAATGCAGCTGATTTAAATTAAGATAAGCGACAAATTAGCGCCGAGATGCCGCACACTAGACCCGTTCGTACATATTTACGCTGTATGAGGTCATGCAAATTACCCCTGCCCCTTCGCATTAGCGCTCGCATTACATTTTGGCCACCAAAAAAAAAAAAAACGAAAAGGCAGCGCTGGAAGGGTTGACCAAAATTCGCGGCCTCATTGCTACCACAAAATTTGACGGCTTTGACGGCGCGCGCTATCAGAATATTAGGGTGTTTCGCTGCGTTGCGGTGCGAGAGTGTTGGGTGTCGCGTCGCTTTGTGGCTTATCAGCGTGCATTGATCATTTGTCACAGATGTTTGCATTTTACTTAAACAATTCGGCTTTTTTGCGCGCCTGACTGCTGTTAACTTGGCGAAAGGTGGTCTTGGTATTTACAATTCCTTTTTTACTGCCATTATGGCTTTAGCTAAGGTTTCAATTATTTTAAACTTGTTTTTTTTCAGCGTCTGCAGTTATGATGACTTGACATTACTTCATAATTGTTTCACCGCTTTGGTACAAATTTGCTTTAATTATTTTTTTGCTTTTCATTTGCTGTCAATTTATATCTGCGGTTACGCAAATGTTCACCTCCGGCGTAACCCTACAATTTAACCCTTTCGCCAAGGTCTATTCAGTTTGTCGCTTTATTTCAACAAACAAATTGTCGTGTGGCATGGCATGATAACCTTTTCTTTGTATGCAGTTTTGACTCACTTGGGCCGGAAAAAGTGTAAAATCATTAATGTTGACATATTGACTTCTGATTTTTATCAATGCGGTCTCTTTTGGTGGACGTGGGAGCAATATGGGCTGTTGCGTAAGTTTACATGAATTTTTGTTTATATCTGCTGTGCAAAATTGCTAATGCTATTGAAGAAATTCCTTTGTACATCAAAGAGTTATTAAATACTTCTAATTTTATTCGAATAAAAATATTATTAAAATTTTCTAAAACTATTTAGATTGCTGCACATATAGTTATAGTTTTTGATCCTAAGAATTTTAAAAACTGAGTAACACTTAATATTAATATTTTTAACCAAAAGTTGTCTTAAGCCTCTTAAATTCAAAAAATTTTTATTTGCTATATAATATTTTTCTCCATATGCCTTCTTGAAGCTTCAAACAATTTCTCTATTTGTCCAATTTTTACTTTCTACAAACCCGGAAAATTGACTGGAATTGCTATTACCCGCCTCAATAAATAAATAAAGTATGTAACTGCTTTGTTGATATGCGAACGTCTTTTGGATTCACACCTAGGATTTCTGGACATCACAACGGTCAGCCGTCTCTAGCTGTCCAAGTGGGATTATTTGTGTTCTCATGGAAAAAATCAAGCTATCGACTTAACTGAAGCTTACCTAAAGAATTACTTACCAATTTTAATTGATTCATTTTGAAATATCGTAGATACAACAAAATGTACATAAAATCCATTCGCACTGGTTTAGTACTCGCTATGCAGGCGAACTGAATATTTCACATGTTATAAAATATTATATATTTTGATCAACTCTACTAGCGTGTCAAAAAAAGTTTTACTTGAAAAAATTATTTTAGAATTTTCCAAGCTAGAAAAGGTTGGGATAGGCGTAAAAGAACCCCGAATATTTTTATAACACCACCATTTTTTCAATTATGTACCCTGTTCCTGAAAGTTTCCTTTAATCGAAAATAAAGCTAATGACACCTCTTGCACACTTTTTTTTATAAAAATGTAAGTTTTATTTATGAAAATATTAATTGTTTGTCGTTTTTTTTATAATTTACAGTTAATTCTTTTGCATAACATAAATTTACAAACAATCCGCAATAAATTTTTTTAATAATAATTTTATTTAGCTTTCCATATTTGTAACGCTAAAATTAGTATAAAATGTTAATAATGATTTTTTAGAAACGAGAATTTTGCTAAAATAATTTTATAAGAGTTTTTTTCCAAAAATTTTGCCAAAAATATTTATATTTAAATTGCTTTAATATGAGCATTTTCGAATGTAAATAAACATTTATAATTAATTTTATTTTTTTTTATGCTTGGTTCGGCGGTTATTTGTATATATTCGGTTGTTTACTGTTAATCATATATATTGTACATTAACTGTTATTTATTAAAAGTTTCATAAAAAGTATTTTTGTTGCCTTGTTTTTTCGAGCATATCAGTATATTTTACTTTGTTTTAAATATTTTTTGCTTTGTTTGTTTGCTAGCTTTATGTATGTAGTTGAACGGCTGTTTCGTTTACCTTAAAAATATTTTGTACAATTATTTTTACTTTTTGTTCCACTGCATGAGTTTTGTATGTATATTTTACTTCTGTACTATTTGTATTTGGTATTTTTGGATTCTTTTTTATGTTTTTTTTTGTTCCTTCTCTGGCATTTTAAGTTGCAAGCAGTTAGTTTAGTGAGTTTAAGTTATATGTAATTTACTGTACTAAGCTTGGTTGAGAATTTGACATTGAGTGTTTGAGTATTGACTTTGCTTTTCATATTCTTTTTACAATTAGGTGTACTTAAATATTAACTTGGTATTTATGTTATATATATTTATATTTATAAATATAATTTTATATATGTATATGTGTGTGTCATGGATTAAGTTATAGTTATTAATATAAGTAGTAGTGAAATTTGTATGAATAGTTGTATGATTGATAGTAGAGTTTTGCTTGATTAAAACTATGATTGACATTTCCAACTGGAAATTGTGTGTGGAATTTGAAAAAAAACAGTTTTTTTTTGAAGTTATGAATCTTTAAAATTTTATTAAGGATTAATATTTTTATTCTTGAAGAAAATAAAAAAAAAGAAACACAAATTTTAACAATTGCTTAAAATTTCATTTAAAATACACTTAAAAAAATGTCCAATATGACGAAATTTGTTAAAACTTTTTGGCATATAGTTTTTTAATTTTATTTTACATAACTGTAATAAAAATGCTTTGAAGTTTTTACTGAAAATTTATCTAAAATAAAAAAAAGACGCTCACAAAATATTTTTTTAATTTTCAAATATATAGTTTTTTAGATTTTAAAATAATAATCACTGGAAATAACTTTGGCGTTAAATAAATAATTACAAAGCTGTGGGGATGTTTTAAATATTTTAAATATTTTTTAATATTTTTTTAATATATTAAATGATTTTTAATTCTTTTCTCTCCATAAGTAATTAGTAAAAAGTTCTCTGTTAAATAGTATATTTCCAAATTTTTTTTGCTTGTAAATGGAATAAAATAATTAGTAATGCATATTTTGAACATAAAATATTATTTTGTTTCATTTATATATGAAAATATAAAATTTGTTATGTAAAAAAAGAAAAAAAGGTAAATGATTTTCTTAATAATTTTGAAAAAATGTCGTAGTTATAGCGCGTAAGGAAAAAATATGTAAAATAATATTGTTTGTAGAGAAAAATTGTATTAAGAAAATAAAAAATTATTTTATGTAAATGATTGATAACCTTTGTGTTTGAAAATAATATTTTTCATAAAGAAATTTGTTTAAAACTTTCAAACTTTTTTCATAATTTCCACACACAAATTTCCATAATTAAGTATTACTCATTTTATATATATTTCTAGCTGTTGCATATCGTATTTTCTCTCCAAAAAATTGCATAACTGAGCATAAAATAAATTCTGTTTTATTAGAAATTTTAAAAATATTTGAACTGCTGTTGCTTACTGGCGTCAAACGACTTTTACAACCCGAAACCGATAGACATTTTCGTGCTTTTTTACTATTTTTTTGTTGAAAAATATTTTTCGTTTTTTATTTTTGCCTTTTTAAATCTAAAACTTCAACTCAAAAAATTCCTTCGCTAGTTTACTGCAAGTTACTCACATTTCGCTTAAATTGTAATTAATATTAATTTAGAGTTTCATAAATTTTAATAGTATTTAAAAAATGTGGAAAATACATTTTAGAAAATATTTCTGGTATCCACTAAAAAGTAACTGACGGTGCTTTACAACAAATTATTATAAAAAAATTGCTAAAAAAATATATTTCCACGAATTTCTTTGTAGAAGTACGCCTTTAGACGCACACATTCAAGTTTATTTATGATCGAAATTTTTAAACTCATATTTCTCAAAATTTTAAATTTAATTTTTCAAAAATTCTAATATGACATTTTTTATGAATTTTTACAACTAGTTTTACAAGCTTGAAGTTCTAAATAGACAAACTATTTTAATAATGAATTATGAATGAATTAAAAAATGAAGAGTATTTACGTTAAATTTTCCGAATTTTGAATTCTAATTAGCAAAAAAAAATTTTTTAACCAAAAATGATTTGTTGTAAAGTATGCGTCACCTTTCACGGAATCACAATGCGCTTTGAATGAGCTTAATGATGGTATTTTACAAAGTGCTCCCACAGGAGCTTCATTCGTTGCTTGGTTGCGGTTGCAAGGCTGTGCAGAAAGGTTCGATTTCATTTTTGAATTTCAATCAAAACTTTCGAGCACATTTCTATCCTCCTCCTTTCTTGAATGTCTCAGTTGCCTTAACGCCTGCCCGCCGCCGGCTTATGCGTGGCGGGCTCCAGATTTCTGCTACTTACAATAGGCGTCACTGCCTCAGCACTTGACATCGTTGATCGTGCCACGCTGGGTGTAGGCACATTTCGAGTCGTCACATTTTGTGTTGCCGCAGTTTGTGGCACCGCTGTCGTATGCGCAACCAGATTCGGTGACACTGTCTGTTGTTGTTGCTGGTGCTGCTGTTCCACTGGCAGCGCCGCTGCGCCCACTTGCACCGTTGTGGCGCCCGTCGCATCGCCTTGACTGATTTCCACTGAGATTTGTATTACCGTCGGATGCCGTTCGGATTGGTGGCAAAAGCGCAAAGCATGACAAAATATTTGTGTTAACAAATCCCAACAGCCGGTGTCCGTTTGTGCAGCGGTGGCGCTGTAGGCACTCAGCGGTATGGTGATGTTGGCGCGAAAGTTGTTATTGCTGTTGTGGTGATGATGATGTGTGCTATGCGGGTGACCGCCGCTCGCACTGTGCGCTGTTGCTGCCGCTGCTGGTTGTGGCGAGGCAGTTGCGGCTGGGTTTGTGTTGGCGACGCCGCCACCGCCGCCGCTATTCGTGTTGGTGTGACCGTTGTTGGCGCTGCTGCCCGCCAGCAGCTTGATTTGGTCGGGTATAAAGTAAGCGATGGCCATGGTTCGAGTTTTATTTAGGTTTTTTTTAATTAACTTTTTTTAAATTTAAAATATTTTATTAATGTTATTTTTTAATTTTCCCACCTTTTTTATGTAGTGGTTATTTCTTATTGTAAATCAGTTTTCATTTCCCTTTTTAATAAATTTGCAGTCTTTACAATTTCCAGCGAAATATTTTTTATGTCAATCTTAATTTAAAATTTTTGTTTAAAGTGAGAAAAAATTTATTTGTTCTAATTTGGTTGGTTTTATTATTGTTTAGATTATTATTATTTTTTTTTATTTATATAAAATAATATTTTATTATTAATTAATAAATATTTTATAAGTTATTGGGTTAATTTTTCTGTTTGAAAATTATTATTAAAGGTTTGAATTTGTTATAATTTTTGTATATATTTTTTTTTTTTTGTTTCAAATCCAGTCATTTATACCTTTATCTTCCATGCAATATTCTTGCACTATAGCTTCGAATCTGTTTATTTTTTAATATTTTTTGTTCATATTGCAAATTAGTTTACTATTTTTAATAAAAGTTAGTTCTCAATTTTTTAAATTAGTTTTTCAATATATTCTAAATTATTTATTGTTTTTTTTTTTTAAATTTTGTTGGTGTATATTTTCTTATATATCAACACTTGACGTTTTCATAAATATTTTGGTTTAATAAAGTGTCTTGTATGAATTTTTTTTATGTAGTTTTCTTTTTTAATTTTTAGTTAATGAATTTTGAAACTTTTTAATTATTTAAAATCTTTCCTAAAATTTCTTAATTTTTTTTCCAAATGTCTGTATTTTTTAATACTTCGCTTATTTTCTCTTATATTATCAAGTTAGTCTTTTACGCCACCATATAATGTTTTTAAAGATTAAAGCATGTTTTTTTCATTAAACTCCGATATTTTCAATTCGAAATGTTTTATATATTTATAAAATTATTTCCAGTAGTCTTGCACAATCACTTCAAGTCTTTATATAATTATTTTATTTTTAAAAATCCAGTATAATCAACGCCTTCAAAAATTTGGCGCCAAAAACACTTAGAAAATTTTCACTGTCACGTGACCACTCGTTATTTACGTAAAAACGCACGCAAGTTCAAGTGAATTTGTTGCCTCTACTACAATGTACTACTACTGTTGCTGCTTGGCTAAATATCGAGTTCCTGCCGCGGCACAAGGTTGTATGCTAACGTCGCAATAGCTTTCTATAGACTGACTGCATTATCCTTGCCGCAGTGACTTTTATAAAAGTTGTCATTCGCCGCTTTCACGGCATGCCAAGGCAGTCAGTCAGTCACAGCATAGCACGCAGCCAACCAAGCACACACACACATACACACCTATACTTACAAAGCATACGCTAGGAGCAAGCAAGCAACAGTAGCCAGTCAGTTTGCTAAGTGAAATGCGAGCGCTCAACACAAAAGTCACCCTCAACATGGCAATTGTTCGGAAAAGAGGTGGTGCAAACACCATAAACCACCAAACCGCGAAGGCACACACACATTCAAACGCACATTCATATAATTGTGGGTAAACCACCACCTCAACCAACACTACCAACAAAAGCAGCAACAGCAGGAAACCTGAAAGCGCACTTTTTAGCACCTTTATGCTCAATGCCCGTCAGCAAAAGCATATTGAGTTAAAGAGTACGTACTGAAAATAAATAAACTCAGTTTGAGCGCCAGCAACGAGTTGCTGTTGTCAGTTCGTAGAGCACTTTCCAAATTGAGTGCCTACTTTTCAGCGTTGAGGCGCTCTCGACGCTTAAGGCAGGCGTCTAAACCTACCCAATTTTGATTCTTCATTCGCTGTGTTTATTCATTGCATCGCGTTTGTTTATATTTGGTGTTCTCTTTGTTCGAAATTCGAAAATTCCCCTTTACATTAGCATGTTGCTCGCATATGAAATTTCATTCTCAGTTTTAGTGAATTCCAAAGCAATATTGTTTCGAACTCGTGGTATCGTTCCTTCTTTCGAACTTCGAAAACTTGTTACAGACGATAGTATATTAACGAAACTCAAATGAGGGGTAACAAAGAGCGTTTTCGAAATACATTTGTATACTAAATTTTCCATGCGCTTATCGCCTTACATAGTAGCATTTTCGCAATAGCGAACATTTTCACTTGTGCAACATCTTAAAGAGTAAGACCCTCCCAGAGTTAGCTGTTATAAATTTAATATAAATCAAATTAAGAATGACGAATTTTGGTAGAACTGGATATTAGATACCTTATAGGTTTTGTTGGAATACAAAGCGAAATTTTGAACAAAAAAATATTTATTTGGGATTTATAAAAAATTTGTGTAGGTTTATTATAGATATCTATTATCTATTATACCCTCTCTTCACGGTTTAGAAAAGTTTTGTTGTTACTCCTCTTTATTTGTATTGCTTTTTATAGCGAAGATTTTCAAGTTTTTTAAATCAAAACTTCGTTTTGAGTGAAACCAGTATTTAAATTAGGTTCCTTTTAAAAAATTACCATTAGTGCCACACGTATAAAGGAATGAACGCTGAGCCATTGAAATTCAATGTAGATTTGCGAAAGAACACTCTCTTTTAATCATATTAAAGATCAAAATATTTGGATACTCTGTAAAAATTTATTACGAGTAGACCAAAATCTAGACCTAGACCTAGACCTAGACCTAGACCTAGACCTAGACTTAGACCTAGACCTAGACCTAGACCTAGACCTAGACCTAGACCTAAACCTAGACCTAGGCCTAGACCTAGACCTACACCTAAAGCTAGACCTAGGCCGAGACCTAGACCTAGACCTAGACTTAGACCTACAGCTAAACCTAGACCTAGCCCTAGACCTAGACCTAGACCTACACCTAGACCTAAACCTAGACCTAGGCCTAGACCTAGACCTAGACCTAGACCTAGACCTAGACCTAGACTTAGACCTAGACATAGAGCCAGGTAACCGATGGAGTTGTATTTGATACGACAATACGGGGCATCGGTGCTTATTCAAACTTCATTAAAAAATGAAGAAGTATTGTATTTGCTATTTTGCCGTCACCATGCCGATTCGCCTTCAACTTACAACGAGGTATCAAGCACGTGCCTGTGATATCACTAAAGTAGGTAGCCTTGAAGAGCATTTAATGTTGTAGCGACACCCCCGAAGGCGACCTTGAGAACCCACAAAAAGTATAACAATATTTCCTTCTTAATGTCTTCTTCACACCACAAATAGATTGCATAAAGCTTGCTTGCTTACTGTGTCCAAATGTTGCAGCATAGCAATTTTTCTTCTTCCCTATCAAGAGAGCTGGGCAAACACACACAAACAAATGCATAAGCGCCAGCTTGCAGCAAATTCCAGCGCTTGTTGCCAAGTGCATGCCACACTTCAGGGCCGCACAAACATATACATACCACACACGAATGTCTGCACCGCTTGCGCTAGCGTTTGCAATTGCAATTGCGAGTGTGACAGTTGGCGGAAGCGGAAATGTTATGGAATGCAATTGCGGGCTCTTAGTGTCAAAATGTCGCTCCCTTCTGTAAAAGCCAAGCGATGTAGTGCAAAATAATGGAGCTGTTGTAGGGAACACTATGCACGCGCATATGGATTTGCGGCTGCTTGTGGGTGTGCTACGAATAACAGTGTCGATTAGCGCTCAAGGTTACGCAGTGATTAAATTGCTTTATAAAATTGTTTTTTTTTTTTTTGTTCTAACAAAGCTGACATTTTGCTCCCACTTTTGATTGCGTCCTTGATAATGAATTTGTGAAGGTTCCGAAAGCGAGGAATTGCTAGAAAAACTGGGGTAAGTACAGGCATGTGCTGCGTGAAGTGCAAAAATTGCAGTTACTTAGCTTGAAAGGGAGCACTAAAATGTGCTGAAAGGAGTGTGTGTAGTTGAAAGTCAAGGTTAGGGATTTGCATTTAAATTAATGAGCAAGAAGCTGTCAGATAATGTCGTGGAGGGATAAAGCGAAAAATCGATAGAGAATACTTTAAAGCGAACGGAGAGAAAGAAAAATCAGAATTTAAATGCTATGATTATATTTTGGTTTAAATTTACTAAATTTCGTGTGAAATATGTATATCGGGTACAATATTTTGAATCTAGCTCAAACCCAATATTTGAAAAACCTAATAAACAGTTTTTCTTAGAGCGAGTTCTTTTTGGAAATTTTTTGACAAACCTCTAAGTGCACTTCGGTCATGAAAAAAATTCTCTTAAAGTTCATCGAGCCTTCGAAGGTAACTTTTAACTAGTAGGACCTTTGCTGAGTAACTCTAAGATGCTGACCACAAATCGAAAGATAAATCTCTTCAATATATAGCATAAGTGTTATTTATAAATAGGTCCTCAGACATGCGCCTATCAGTCCAATTCTTATGTGAAAGAAACGCATCAAAATAAAACATGCATTTGTCTTTACAACGGCTAAATTTTTGAGTTACGCATATGCCACACTTAAAGAGAGAATTTCTATAAAATATGATACAAATACTTAGATGGGACCTCCTCTTTGAAGAAAAACTAAATAAGAGCTGACTTAATCACCATTCAAGGGATGAAATCGCCTGGGGATAGAAATATATTGAGACATCCGGCATAAAGTAAGAGGGTTCCGTCTCAGATATCAGCGTTTCTCTCTAGAGCACGAATTTTTCGATAAAATGGACCAAAAGAAAATAATATCTTAACTGATAAGAAAACATCTGAAAACATTTACCTCCGTCAATAAAAGGTAAAATCTTCGATACTATCTTGGCTATCGATAATAAAGAGTTACGAGTTTGGAATAGTCGGAATAAAACGAGCTAAGTAGACTTGGATTGCAATCGGCTGTAAATATTCCATTTGTGAACTAAATTTGCATGACGACGTAATTATACAAAAGAACAGAGTAATATTTTCTTAATCGTCTATCGAAGTCTGAAAATTTTTGTATAACATAGGCATGGTCGGTAGAAAGTTGGCTTGGAATACAGTCGAAAATTTTTAATGTAGACTAAGATGTCAAGACAACTAGAAGGCTACTGTTAGAAAATTCATAACCACACTTTTGACCCGTTTTTTTAACTCAATAAATTTTAGATAACGGTTTTAAAGAACTTTAATACAACGTTATCAACCCTACGAATATTCTATAATTAATTACAGCGGCAACACTTGTCAAGCGCCACACTCCTTTGTGCTGGCATATTCGCTCCGCACAAACTGCTGGCCACCCACACACTCGTTAGCACACACTCGTTAGCAGTGAAGCGAATGCAGCACACATACACTCATACAATATAAGTAGTATTATTGGAGCTATATCTAGTTATGTAAGTAAGTCACATACGCACTCGTCTCCTTCTGCGCACACACATGTTGAATAGTTCGTGCGGAAGCCAAGTGAAAAACTTACACACATGAAAAATTATGACGAAGAAACAAAAGCGCACAACTAGCGCCGACGAGTATGTGTGTGCCCCATTTAAAGGGGTAAGCGTTCAAGCGCATAAAATAAATTGAAATTTTAAAGTATGAAATTAATTTTTTGACAGCGTGAGCAGAAGGCGCTGCAGAAAAACTTGTCGTGCTTGAGACACAAACATACCTTGGTGTTTGGTTCTACCACATATGAGCACACATGAATTCCGACATTTCTTCGAGTCACTTGCTAGAGGCATTTGCCACTTGCCTTTGACGTCAACACTTGCCTGGACACTTTAGGGCTCTGCTACCAGCTAAGTGCTAACCATTTGACTAAATGCAAATGTCACTTTTTGTCTTACGCTCTTTAGACACAAAGGCGGCGAACAAAAACTCGTTGATAATATTGCCAGTAATAGTCATTTGTCAAAAATTACCAAATGATGTCATATGCATACGTACGTGGTATTGCGACACTTGTTGTTTTCTTGGGAAATAGATGATGATCTGACCAAGCGTACAAAGTGAAAAACTTCGATGGTGGTTAGGAGCTACTGAAAATGAAAAATCATTAAATTGAACAAAAAATTTTTACATTTTCAAGGCAGTTCTGTTCTAGCAAGTAGTTCGCTCTCACTTGTATTGTAGATTGTATATTTAGAAATGATTCAACCTCATGTTGTGCGGGAATGTTCCCAGTAGGAGTTTCTCCAACTGAAATTTAAAAGTAAGTATGAGAGAAAAATACAACACGCAAATGAAAAACGCGTCCTAAATGGTTCGGTGGAAATGAGAGCCAGAATAAGAT